TCTCTCTCTCTCTCTCTCTCTGGTCCTCTGCATATGCATACACATATATATGTGCACCGTGCAATGTCAGTTGCGGTAAAACTTGGAGAGCCGGCTGAGAAAGTGTCGGGCGTGTTAAGAAAACGAAGAATCTTCGATAAGGCCTGATTGTTTCCTTGCTTTTCCAGCATCTGCCTTCAGTCCGTGTGAATGATTCGGTCCTGGTTGGTTTGAGTGCCTCGTTAAAAGTTCAGCGTGAAGCTGTACACATGGAAACGCATGGTCAGGATATATAGGAGGAAACGGCTGAAAAGATACAACCAGTTAGATTTGACAGCCGTTAAGGTTTAACCTAGATTATCCTGAATAGAGGAGGACTCGTTGTGTTTTCTAAAGTCGAATTCATCAATTGTAGAATGCTTCCTGTCCTTTACGTGTTCCCTGGTGTATCCCGGTTGAATCTAGCAGGAAACTGAGGAACAGGAAGGTAGTTCCGTTGGGCTGGAAGCATCGATACTGGAAAAGCAGAACGGAAGCTCCGATTGGTTGAACGATCGATGAAAGCTTGCTCGAGCACTGGCCAATTCCCGAATACACGGTATCAAACGTGGCTAACCCGCTGGACCTTTGTGTACCGATACCGAGAGAAGAGGAGAACGAGTGAGGCCAATAGAGAGAAAGGTGAGCGAGTGGCTGAAGGGTCAGTGGCTAGAGTTCGGAGTCACCCATATTTTCCGAACCACTGGACCAAGATAAAAGACGGGGACCAAGCGACGAGGGGATATTGGCTTGTTTGAATTTCCTAGAGAGAAAAACTGGTGACCCGCACTTCTCGGTATCCGTCCTGGACCAAGTTAACGTTCGTATCTCCTCTTATTATATTAATAAAGTTTTCCCTTCCTCGGACGTTCAATATAATTTATAAGAAATTATTGTCACGTCGTATCGATACCATTGATATCGTCTTTGAACGATCAAGGAGAGATTTTACAGAGGAAAATGCTGTCTTAAGCAAAGATAAGACTGCGGTAGGTGGCTGGTATGAATTGCAGTGCTATACTCGATGCAGGGTGGGTGGACGAAAGGGGGTTTGGTACTCGAGCTAAAGCACGAAGAGGAGTTGAGAAATCCAGCGAAACCAGTGACGGTGGAAAAGGTTAGTAGCTGACGAAGGGATGATACCAGACAGCAGCGGTGGTGGTGGTGGTGGCGGTGGTGCTGGCTCTCTCATATAAGAGAGGATGCGGTAGAAACGTGGAACGTCGCCGAGAAAATGGGGACGGACTCCGTAGGTAGGTAGGTACGTTATCTCCGGAATTCCATGACGCTTCGCGGAGATATGACGCACGGTGAATTTCAGGGAAAAGGACGAGAGAAGAGAGCGACGACGTCGGAGAGCGTCCCGACGCGCAGCCGTCGACGTAAATTATTGATTGTACGAGGGAGAAAGAGACTTCTGCCTTTCGCAGAGAGTCAGAGAGAGAGAGAGAGAGAGAGAGAGAGAGAGAGAGAGAGACCGATGAGGGAAAGCACGTAGCCTATTCATTTAATACACCCTTATATAGCTATAGGCCACTTTGCACTGTCACTGCCCACCAGAAGAACCTGACGCAGAGGTAAAGGAAGTAGTGGGGCACCCCACCCCACCTCCACCCCCACGCGACCTCATACTCCTTTTACTACCCTTATACTCAACCACTATTGCTACCCTTCTCTACTCGAGGAGGACATCCTTGGCTCTATCGCTAATTTACGATCGGCAGATTCGCCAGGATTTCGTTTCCCTCCAGCATCCACCCTCTCTCCCACCCCTCACTTGGAACCTTGTCCCATTCCTCAAATTCAAGCCCTGCGCACTGTGAATTTGGGGGCAACCTTAGCCCTGCCACTCCGACTGCTCCAGGATTTACGAGTGTTGGACTCAACGCTATACTGTCCCTTATACTGCTTTTCCCCAATTTTCGGCTATTCTACATTTTCCTTGTCTTTCCTCGCGAATCTCCATTCCCACCGACCGTCATCCTCCATCACGTACCTTTCGAGTGTTTTGGACAACACACGAATTCCACCCCAGAGAATAGAGATATTCCGCAAGGCAGTAACATGGCGAAACTCCGCAGCTTCATGTTGCGTTCCCGACAAGTTGCTGCGGCAGTGACGTTCCAGCTGAAAAAAAATATTAAAACGAAAATTACATGACCACCAAAAAATCACATCTGACACTAATCGATCCAATGGCAAGATCAAGCATGGAATGAAAAAAAAATACTAATTCCAATTATTACCTGAGCGATTCCCAGCACTTGGTCTGATTATGTAGATGATCGAAGAGACATCCCTCGGGCACCAGAAGGGCGTCGCTCTGGAAAGGACCTTCTGCGAAACAAGAGAAAATCCATTCGATAAAAGCGCATTCAGCGACCGAAAGAGACTAAAGATAAAATAAGAGAAACACAAGTGGGCAGGGACTACGTGTAGTCGAAACCAACAAGCAAAGCAGCTGGCTACGTTTCTACGAGTCGATCGATCTGGCACGTGTCGGCGAAACGTTAAGCCACGACCCGTTATAAAATGCAGCGGCTCGTAAAGGCGTCACATATCCACGCTTCGGTATATTTCTATACAGTCACATAGTATACATATAATGCTACTCACGCGTCACCCCTAACGGCTACACGGACTATATTGATATACTACGGAGTCTGTATGTGGTTACATTGGCAATTTTAACGTTCATTGAACTTGAAAGTAACAGTGATATTCGCGTCAGCTCGATCAAAGCGTATCGTTAATTCCTTCGACATTCCTCACGCAAAATGCTAACCTAACCTAAAATACCCGTGTATACGCCCACATTGTCGCTTCTGATAAGAAACCGTATAAATAAATGCACGCATTGCCTTTCTGGATAATAAAGACGCGTGACGCGTCTACAATATATATATACACACGAGTATCGTACGGAACTTTTTTGAATAGCACATATTGGTGAGCCTTGAATAGAGACAATGAGGAAGGGAGGGGGGAGGGAGAAAATAAAGTTTCCTATTGAAACGAGAAAAGCTCGTTTCACAAATTCGTAGAAATATAAGGACTGCAACATGTTCCTATATTCCCTTCTTCTGGTATACAGTGGCAGTACGTGTGTACTACCACTCACATCAGTCCTGGTAGTAGTGCCGAGATAAATTGCGCAGAGGACTTTTGAACGCGCGCGCGCGCGCACCTGTGTGTGCGCGCATAGACACAGGTTGGCGAGTAGGGACGCGTAAAAGTTTTTTTTCCCCGAAATGTTTCTGTCCGAAGTAAACTGCGCGAGAACTAGTATGTAGCAGCTCGGCCTAAAAAAAAGTAATTCCTCCGGATGATCCTGGCGCACACTATAGGCGTTACGCCGTAGCTACACACGCTCTTCGAATAAAAGCGCGAAAGCTACCGCTGAAATAATTACGAGGTTGCCGGAACAGAAAGCACACTTGAACGTACTCGGCTATGCGCCTGTGCTACATGAGGTAGGACAGTATGTACCGCATTCGGGGATGGGAGCATTTATTCGTCGTGTGTTCCGAATATTCGTAAACTAAGTCCTTTTTTTTTGTTCTAGCCGAAGTAGGTAGATGGGTAGAGAAGTGGGTGGGTAGGTTGTTAGGTTGCTAGGTTATGTACGTAGGTAGGTAGGGCATCATATCGTGGTACGAATTCTTGCGTAAGCCGCATGCGTCTAAGAGTCACGTCTTACGGCTCCCTGAAATCGTGCGCGTCTCGTAGCTTGAAGACGGTTTGAACGAGGGAGTGTTTGTATGGTACATTGGTACCGAAGAGACGTGAGACAGGTATATGTATAGGAAGGGGGTACAGTCTGATTGAAGAATTTATATATAACCATCAGACTCTTTTACGCTCGATGAAGCAAACCAAAAGAGAGATGGAGAGATAAGGTAGGAAAGAGAGATAGAGAGATAGAGAGAGAGAGAGAGAGAGAGAGGTAAGCGAAAGTAAGTCAAGCGTAAGGAGAACCAGAGGAAAGATCGATCTTCACGTGAGGAGGTCTCGAAGTGATCCAAATGATTTTAACTCGTACACTCTTGCGAAGCAGTGTAACTCTGGGGATTTCAATAGGAATTGAAATTCAGTACCGCCTGCTGGTTGTGCCTGACTCATGATAAATAATCGCTTGAATATCACGGCGCTTTGTATTACGTCGGGTCGATAGTACCGTGTATTCCTGTAGATAGTATAGGGTACCTATTACGATTTCAGTTCGCCAACAGTTACGTCGAATGGACTGTAGGTCGAGGATAACTATCCTAGCTGTCACCGTTTTTCCATTACTTTCAATCCCCAGGAGTCCTTTACTATTTCTCTTTGTGCGTCTCCCATTCCGCGGCACGTTCTTCTCTTTCCTTCCTTCCGTCGTTGTCTCCTTTATTCTTTTGTTCGAACAGCCGCGGAGTCAAGCCGCTGAGGAATGATGAAAGACAAGCCGAGACACGGAGAAAGAAGAGAATGACGGAGAAGAAGAAAAAAAGATTGTCGTTTTCACGTGTCTTGGGAGTGGCGTATTATTCGCCGCTGCCCTCCCCGTCCATTCGTCCCCGCCGCCGTAGCGTCCCGACGCCCGTCGTTGCGGCTGGAATCGATAACGGGGCATCGCCGGGGAGGAGCAGCCTAATGGAGTAGCAGCATAAAATACGATCAAAGCGAACTATAATTAAATTTCAGCCGCGTGGAAATTTCCTTGAGCATTTAGCGGGTAATGGAATCAACTACCCTCTTTTCTTGGTCCAACCAAGGAGTCTGGGCTCTCCCCACAGCTTTAGCACAGACAAATAGATCCATAGCTCACCTACGAGATCATTAGCCTCTAGTGGAGGTCTAGTTAAAGTTGAACTTTAAAATAATGAGGTTAATGATAATTGTAAGATTGTTAATATTTATTACCAAGACATCTGTAGGGCTTGACCCAACGGGACAGCTTGCACTTGGTCCGTCCTGGTTTGCACCATCCGTTGACCCTCACGTAATGAGAGGATTCCACGATGTTCGTGATGTCCCTCTTCGGATAAGCCTGGAAAGAGAGGGTCCTTCAAATCCTTTGATTTGATTCTATCGATTGGCTCACGTCTGCAGTCCTATATCTTCTCCATGGAACGGAGGAGGAGGAGGAGGAGGAGGAAGAGGATGAAACGGGCAAATGCACTTTGCTCTACCTTATGTATAGGCGACAAAGATATGACTGTGCAATACGTTGCTGCCAATTTTACGTCATCTGATTGTCGCGAATTTCTTCACCTACTCGGCAGAGTCTCAAGGAACGTGCACCTTCGAGCATTTATGACGCGTGTGGTTTATCGTGGGCTTATCAAATTTAGTGAATTTTATTAAAAATGAAATAAAAAAACTTCTCAAGAACCACCTGCTAAAAGAATCTACTGGCAATTCGTCTTCGCTGTTGATAACGTTCCGTTAAAGCTTCGCCGGGCGAGGTTAGGTAGAGCTCGTAGCTCATTTCGTCGGCAAGTAGATTAGCGAGCAAGACTCGGGACTGGGAAATTGCCGAATTGTTATACTTTATCGAGTTATCGGGCATTTCCGTTCTATTGATTGTGCTACAGCTGGAAGACGATCGAAGCTTAAAGAGATTAGAAGCGATCAGCTACCACGCGTTTTGCGTGGGAGAACGAGTATAGTCGTTCTATGCGGAGTGTAGGTCGAGACCATCGAGACCCTGAGGTACCGATGGCGTATAGTCTCTTCGTCATAACTGGGGTAGCTCAGTCGAGTGCGCGTCCCAGGAAAGTCCTGGTGAATTAATAGAGAGGCAAGAGGTGGGTTGCGCTGCTGATAAAATCGCTGGACGCGAAGCTTGAATCGAGGGATGACGTCCGTAAGAGCGCGTAGTCAGGGTTCGTGTTCAGACGGCAATTCCCCGACGTCCCCGACGTCCCCGACGTCACCGACGTACTACTACGCGCTACATGACTACATGTCGCACCCATTAAGGAGGGTAGATTCTGATTGGTTAGCCGCTACGAGACACTTCAAGGGGAGATTGTTCTCTGACTCATCCCGTCACACACGACTATAAAAACTCGACATGAAATGAAAATGCTGCTTTATAGCCGTTATCTAGAGTACATTACGTATGCATACACTGGGGATAATTCAAGAGACACCGTGAGAGCCCCGGGGCTTATTTAATAACACAAATGTAAAGCAGCATGGTGGATTTACCTGAGGGTTACCGTACACCGCCGGATACGAGTAACCTTAAATTTAATGTAAAACTCCCTCGAGTCCCCTGTGACTTTGGTCTCCGGTATTGTGGTCTGAGATGAGTAATCGCATCCGGGCAATCTGGTTAGGCTGGACTCATTCAAGCAAAGAGGATCTCCTGGGCCACGGTGGGACGAGCCCTTCGACCATTTCGCTTCTTACCTTCTTACAGTACTCAAGGATCTCCAGTTTGTCCGTCATGCAGCTCTTCTTATCCGTCGACGACACCCATCGGCCCTGCTCGCCCATGTGCTGTGCGAGGTAGACTTCTCCGGCTTCGCAGAGGGTGGCAACCTTCGAGTAAGAGGGAGACGCAAATTATTCGGGAAGATTAGAACCCCCCTTCCAGGGGCTGATTCGCTTAGGGTGTAACAAGATACGCGGGAATCGAGACGAATGCACGAGGAGTCCAGAGGAATCAGAGGAGCTTTTAGAAAATTACCTGAGGTTCGGATCTCCCACCGGCAGGTGCAAGCTCCAGTCTCTCGGAAACTGCCTGCAATGCAAATAAATACCAGAATTAGTTACGCCAGTTTGAAAGTCAGGTAGGTTCGAGTCAACGCGATACTCGAGCTGACTTTCTTAGGATCGAATCGAAGCAAATTACGCAACTTCGATAAATAACGTCGTTCCTTAGATATTGAACCAAGTGACCGTCACGACGTCTCCGTCTGACGCAAAATATTAATTGGCGCTGGAGTTCGGATGTAATTAGAAGAAATCGTTCAACACCTTCAAACTTTCCTCGGGAGCTTCACCCTGCTACTCGATAAGAAATGCTTCGAGACTGTTGTTACAAGTAAATCATGAGCTCTCTCTTGATTGCGCATCCAGTGGAATCGAGTCAGTTGTTACTTTCCTAGACCGCAGCGCCTCTACAGTAACAGACGGGGAGACACATCCCCCATGGAGATGAAGAGTCTAACCCCTTGCGGCTTTTCAAAGGGGAAGCCTGCATTTTTCATGTTTTCCTCGCCGAATCGGCTTACGTACGTCGCCTTTGAAAGATAACAGAAGAGAGGGAGAGGGAGAGAGAGAGAGAGAGAGAGAGAGAGAGAGAGAGGAGGGGGAGTGACTGATAGAGATAAAGGATGCTGATGCTGCTGTTGCTTCCTGGAACCTTTCCACCCGCTAGGATCTTCCGGCGAAGGGTTAATTTCCGGCGCTCCGGTGCAAAGGGGCGTGGGTGGTTCGGTGGTTCGGTGGTTATCGCAAGCAGGCAAAATTCGAACCAGAGTACGTCACGTCTGATTGGTTGATTAAAGTCCCGGGAACGTCATGGCTTGGACC